TCCCTGTCCACTGAGGTCGACGAGTGTCCCCTCGAAATGTTTCTTTTCTTTATCAGTGGCCCAGAGCTAGCTGGTACTTGTAAGATTTGTTGAAATTGTGTTTGCTTATTTGTATTGTAGTTCCGTCGGGGAATGTATGGAAGAGAAGCCTAGTTGAGGGTGTAACGGGTCAAGCCGCTCGAACGGCGGCTGTGCCGCCTATCACTAACTCCCCTAGCGGGTTGATTCTAGTTCCATGCACTTTTATCTGGCCTAGCGGTACCCTATACACGTCCGTGTAAAAGGGAGAACTATATCTGTTAATAACTAGAAAGAGCGCGGTAAATTAGAAATAATACGAAGGGTATAGAGTTAAGAAATTAAAGAGAGTAAATAAGTGCGTGAATATAAAAACTTTATATAAACTCCTTACCCTTAAGGAAAAAAAGAAATAAAATAAGGAAAAATACTATAATAGTTTTATTCCTCTTACTAAAGGCACCTTATAATTTATAAAGACTATTTTCCCGTTATACTAGTATAGCTAAGCTTAAAAGAAAGTACTTAGTAAAGCAAACTAGCTATCTATTTACGTCTAAAGACAGCCGTTAAGTAATACCTATAAAAGTAAGCTACAACTCTTAGGTCTATTATAATCCAGTTAATTATATGTTAGCCTTAAAGATACCGCTAGTCTCTAACCCGTGCTTCTTAAGTTTAATTAAATACTTAACACACTAATACTAACTAGATAAGGCTTTAAAGTCTTATCTCTCCTTACTTAGGTAAGATACTTGTCTTATATATTATATATAGCTTAACGGAGATTCCCTTATTTAGCTAACCTGGCTAGAAGGCTAAATCGCCCTAAAAATTCGTAATTACTAACTAGGTTATTACCTGCTAGTTAATTAAACTTTACTATACTTAAAAACATATAATTCTCCTAGAAATAGAACACTATTATTTGATAATTAAGGGCGTGCTTAATAGCCATTTTAAGAATATTCTTATAACTCTACTTTATCTTAAAATCTAAGTAAGAAAAACCTAAACTACTTACGCGCCTTAGATTTAAGTAGTGTATATAATAAATTATATTAAAGTTAATATAAATAATATCGCTTTTATAATTAAATTAATATCCTTAACGTGTATTACCTATACGCTTAAATTTAAAGCGATTAATTATATTACTAGCCTACTAAGACTTATAATATACTACTAATAATTAGAGTATTAGAAGTAGTATAGTTTTATAGTTTTTAGTGAATTTTAGTATAGTATAATATAGTATAGTTTTACTATACTATATAACATTTTAAAAATTAATGTAATATGTAGTATTAATCAATTTATAAGCTATTATTAGCTAATATAATTAGTAAGCTAAAATAAAGCTAAATTTACTTACTAATATTAGTATTAGTAAGTAGGGATTAGCTAGCTTAAATAAGCTAAAAACAGGGATTAAAAAACTAATAAAAATATAAAAATAAGAGAAAGTATAAGGGAAATTTAAGGGATTTATATTAGGTAAGTA